ATCTTTTCATGTGACTGTTGGCCATCCATATTTCTTCTTTGAAGAAATGTCTGTTCAGGTCCTCTGCCCATTTTTTAATCGGATTATTTGGTTTTTTTGGTGTTGGGGCATATGAGCTCTTTATATATTTTGGATGTTTACCCCTTATCAGATAAATCGTTCATAAATATGTTCTCCCATATTGTAGGGCAGCTTTTTGTTCTGCTGTTGGTGTCCTTTGCTGTATGGAAGATTTTTAGTTTGATGTAGTCTCACTTGTTCATTTTCTATTTTGTTTCCCTTGCCCAAGGAGCTGTATCTAGGAAAACATTGTTCACACTTACAGATTTTTGCCTATGTTTTCTCTGAGAGTTTTATGCTTTCATGTCTTACATTCAGATCTTTGATCCATTTCGAGTTTACTTTTGTGTATGGAGTTAAGACAGTAATCCAGCTTCATTCTCTTGCATGTAGCTGTCCAGTTTTCCCAACACCAGTCACTGAAGAGGCTGTCTTCCCCATTGTATATTCATGGTTCCTTTCTCACATATTAATTGACCATGTATGTGTGAAAATTGAAGAATACAATTAGATCTCTATTAAATGAAAATTCCACATCCATCAGTGAGTTAAATATAAAATAGGATTTAAAAAAAATTTGTTTTCAAAGATGAAAACCATCTGCTTTTGCACAGCAGGTGTCATGAAAATAAGTTAATGGACAGCCAGGGGAAAAATATTTTCAGTACATGACAAAACCAATATTCCAATATACACTGACCTCTTATAAATTATTATGTGAGGCATGAATAGCACAATAGGCAATGGCCATGAATATCAACTCACAAAAGAAACACAGTAATTCTTAAGTGTATGAAAGAGTGCCCAATTTCATTAATAAATGCATATAAAACAGTGTCTCACACAACAGATAGGCAAAATAATTTTTAAATCATACAGTGTTATAAGGGTACAGGAAAACAAATATTACAAATGTTATTATATCCTTTTGGCACCTAATGCAGCTTTTTAAAAAGTAAAAGAGGCCATATTTGTTCAAATGAGAATGTTTCCACTACTTGATCCTGAAATTCCACTTCTAGGAATCTATCCCACAGAGTACTGCCACATGTCAGCAAAGTTAAATGCCTGAGATTGTTCACTGCAGCATTGTTTATACTAGTAAACTGGAAAAACCGCATGCCCATAAATAGGAGAACGGCTGAATAAATCATGGATACACATTCAGGGCAGTGCTGTGCCTAAAGAGAAGGAAGCAAATCTGTAAGTGCGGAACCAATAAGGGATTCATATCGTTAAGTCAGAGAAGGAGGTAACAAAATGACAGCATCATTCTGCCTTTGTTTTTCTAAATCTAGTTCTATAAATACATTATACAGGCATGGGAAATATGGGGACCACCTAAGCAAACTTCACAGTGGCTACCTGGTGGGCTGGGGCTGGGAAGGAAGGACCGCTCATTTTTTCAGATACATTTGTATTACTTAAACTTATTGAGAAAGCATTACTTTTATAACTTGCATAAAACCTACAGAGATGTGGGCTGAGCTTATTTTAGGCTTAGCTACACAGTAAATGAACACTCCCAAAACACTAAGCCCCCTGGGGGCTTGTCTTACTCATCTCTCTGGATAGGGAGAGTTATATAGAATGTTTTGCATATAATAGATGTTCAATAAATGTCTCTCTGCACTTCGCTGGACAAGAGCATGCTCTCTCCCTGCTGAATCCCACTGTGTGCAGCTGTGTATGTATGCGTGTGTGAGAGACAGATGCGTGGGAAAGTGTGAAGATGAGGAAGAAAGGCGAATGTACCGGACTTTGAGCCATTCAAGCTGTTGGCAGATCTTGAATGTGAAAGAAAGCTGAAGTGAACACCGTCAGGCTTTTGATGATCACCTATGGGGAAGTTCCTCTCTTTGGGCTCCAAGAAACTGCTCCAAGAAACGTGCCTGCCCTCCAGAGCACAGGCCCAGGCCTCCCCTGCAGCGGTCGCTAACAAACAATCCCCAGGTTGTTACCATCCAGGCTTGGGGAAGCTGGATTCCTGCTGGCTACACGTGCGGGGAGAGACCAGTGTTTGCTCAACAACACAGAGTTGGGAAGGAAAAAATTTTTTCCCTTCTCCAGCTTACCCTGGAGTGTGTCCAAACAAGGAGAGTACTGCACAGAGCAATCACCAGACGGAGAGCTGCAAAGTCTGCTTTCAGACAGATGAGGAAAAAGCAGAGCCAGGAAAGTCAAACATGCATGAGGCATCTAGTGCATTGAAGGGATACCAGACACCAGCCTGAAGAATCGGAACACACGTTCTCCTGCCAGGGACGGTCACTTAATTGTTCTCCAGTGCCCTTCTCGCTCCTTCCCCTTTCTTCTTGAGAGGCACTGCACCGGAAAGGTTCAGGAGGCAGCCTGACCCACTCCAGGGGGAGGCCTGGGGCCCCCCCACCACTTTGAAATCCTCCCCACAGACAGAAGCCAACACAACCTTCAACTATGACTCTCCATTTATTCTCTTTCACCGTCCAGGTTTGTTCAAAACCTTATAATAGGTATGAAGGGGAAAATAATTGCATTTTTTAAAACTCAGTCTATCCAAAGTGTATTCTAATATATGAAACCATGCCGTTATCGCTTAGGGAAAAGAAAAAAGCATTCCGAAATTCATGTGATATTCATATTTAAGATTAAGACTAACTTCCAAGTAAGCCGTGTGTGTGGTTTAAGGTCAGGGAGCGTTTTCATTCCAGTGATTTTACAGAGATGCTGGAGTGATGGGTATAATCTGAAATGTTCAAATTCTTGAAGGTTTCTGCACATGTATTTAAATAAAAACAAACATGGTGGCATAGTTTCAGTGGCTTTCAATTTCTTGTTTGATCTCAGAAATGTACGGATGGTCTTTGCCATGAGCTACTTCCATGATTGCAATGGCCTGGGAAAGAGACAGACAGATAGAGCGTTGAGAGCCTGAAGCCAGTCCCCTCATTCCTCCACCCCGGGCTCATTCAAGTTAGCCTCCTCCGCTTTCAGACGAGGACGCACGCTGGCTTTTAGAGCCTGTGTTCTCCTCTAGGGTCTGGCTTTAAAAACAAAAAAGACAAGATATCTGCTAAGGAACTAGTCAACCAGTCTACTGCTGAGTAAACCATTCTGCCATTGCAGAGGAGAAGATAAGGAGAAACTGATTCTGTGACATTCTTTTGCCCCAGTGTTCTAGATACTTCAGTAAAGGACACTTTCAGGACAGAATTATTTGGCTATGCTCAACCAAGTAAACAGGTAATCCTGGAATGGAAAAGTTCATAGTGACTTGATATCAAACCTAGTTTACTAATCTGGAAGACATGGCTAAACTGCCTTTTCCCTTTCAAAAGGGCTTTCCTTTGAATACATATGTATTCTTTAAAAACATGTAAAAATAGGTGCAGGTTTCATTTCAGGAAGCGAGAACGAACGTATTTAATAAGGTTTCTTTATAGCAAGACAATGTAAAATGGGAGAGTTTTCTGTGGCTCCCCTCATTTCCTAGCTGTGTAACCTTGAGCAGTTTACTCTGGGCCCCATTTTCTCCTCTGTAAAAGTGGAATGATACCCACCTCTCCGAGGGGTTAATACACTTGGAGTGTTTAGAACAGTGCCTGACATATAGGAAGTATATGCTGAATGTAATCTGTAAGAATTTATTTCGCTCTTTTGTGTTCAATTGTGTTACTCACAGAAAGAAAAACTTAAATGACTCCCACACCCCTGAACAGGATTTTGGATGGCCTGTGACTCTGTCAGTTACACCAGCCTATTCAGATCTCAAAGCAGGAGGAGGCAGGCCAGGTAAGAGAGCAAGTCTTCAGGAGTCCCCCGTTTTAAACGCCTCCCCTTGCCGTCCGCATTCAGTCCACACCTCATGGTCCTTGCTCAGAGCCGCATCCTTCGTGACCTAGTACTCAATTACCAGCCCTGGGAAACTGTGACCCAACTGGTTAATTTTTCCTCAACTCACCAAGACAATAAGGATGTTATCTTAGAAGACAAATTCCGTGCCTTAAAAATGGGACATTTTATGCTTTGTGCACTCGTAGCCTGGCTGGGGCCTGACCCTTCCATTTGGGATGCGGGAACCTAACTCCATCATCCCAAACAGTTTGTTGGAAGATCTGGAGAATCTGGGGGATTAGGCGTCCAGACCTCGTCTGTGGCCCCAGCTTGTACAAACTTCCCCCTCGGTAAACAGACTATCCCAAAGATTACATTTTATCAACTGTTCACTTCTCTGTAAAGAACAGTAAGAATCAACTCTCGGGATGGAGGTGCGGGTGTGAGGGCGCGGCCCCCTCTCCCACCAGCGACCTTGGGGCAGGCCAAAGCGGGTGCTCAGAGAGGCCCCAGCCTGACCCGGCTCCTGCCCTAGGCTGGTTACCTCGTCTGCCTGAATCTGTTATTTCATCAGAAAACTTTCTCTCATTTCTGTGAGAATTAAAAGCACACACACACACGAGGGTCATGGCATGTAACTGGTACTCAATATATGGTGACGATGGTGGTTAAGTGCATTTGATAACTGGAAATGCATGATTCTGATATAGAGGTACGCTCCATATCCAACTGCCTCGATTCACTGCAATCGGGTTTCATAAATTTGTGAATCCTAAAGGGTGAGCAAATGGACAGTCTTTCACCATGGCTTCCTGGCCTGTGCGGTGCCTCCGTCTGCTATCAGGGCTTCACATGGGACGGGGGCGGCGTCCCCGCTCCTTACAGGAGGCTGGACGCGACATCGCAAAGGCTCAGTGACTTACTCTCCCCGACCCGCTGCACCCCCACCCCCCCGTCTTGGGCCACAGGGTGGGGCAGGGCCGGGCATTCAATGCCACTCCGGTGGCTCGGCCCTATCAGGCACGAAGGAAGGGAGCCGAGGGGGCAGGCCCGGCCCGGGGCCCCAGGTCCGCCGCAGAGGTACCTTTCCCAGCGCTTTCTCTCCGGCAGCTTTGTTCTCCAGACCCATGTAAAGTCTTCCCAGCTTCAACCACATGGAGGCCACGTTGAGCGAGTACGAAGGGTAGTGTTTGCTGAAAGAGGGGGGAAGACGGAAGCCCACCTTGGCAAAGGGCGCCGAGCAGCCCCGGGGGCCGGGGCGCGAGGGCCTGCGGGGGCAGAGCTGAGAACCCCGCAGCTTCAGGGTGGCCAGTGTGCGTGGATAACCCCGCCCACCGCCGTTCACGCACTTGATTTTCGGCAGTTTGCTCCTGAAAAGCTACATGAAAACTGCAGGCGAAATCCTGTACAGAATATTTATGATCAACATGCAATCCCGGACCCACATTTTTGTTTCAGGCGCAGCCAAAGCAGAGCATCCGGAAAACAGCTTTTAAACTGAATTCCACATTTATGAGCACATTAGGCCTATCCTCACATATTAAAAGAAAGTATACTCCAAAATATACACATACTGTGTGTCCAAGATGCCAGGTTTCTGTCACGCTCCACCACACTAGTTAGTTTAGCAAAACTATAAGCCCTCTGAAGTCAGGAGGCTGCCTCCTGTTTCTCCTGGGTATTTCTCTACTGCCCAGAGGGCTGCATAGACAGGAGGTATTATTCTCTTTGTCTTTAACTGGAGGGCTGACTGATGGGGCCTGCCTAGGAGAGAGCATTTCCCTAGGCACAGAGACCAAGAGGTGCCTCACAGGTGAGAGGGTGTGTGTGCGTGTAGTAGGTGTTTATTTTCAGGCTGGTCTGTATAGCTTCTACCCACCAAATCTGACCAAAAGAGACACGTTCTAGCTGCAGTCCCAGGCTAGGGGCATCGTGCTGCCTGGAGGAAGCCCTGGGACTGCTGGCCCTACAGAAGGCCCATTTGGGCCTCCAGAAGTTGCTCACTAAGCTGAGGAAGGTCCAGCCCAGCCAGGCCCTGCTGGGAGAGGAACCACAGGTACAGATTCTCTCAGTCCTTCTCATGCCTTCTATCTGCCTCCATCCATTCCATCTCCCACCTTCCCTCCCCACCTACAGAGAAGTATGCATGAAACCTGAGGATTTCTCACCCAGCCCAAGAAGCAGCAGCTTTGGGATTATCCCCAGTGTAGCAAATTGCTTTTCTAAAAGGAGAATTTAGAGGCTGGCTTCCCCTTGGGCTCCCCCTGCCGGCTAATCAGGGCAGCTTGCGGTAAGGGGAGGGCGGACTTGGCAGTGGAAATTCAGAGCAGAGACAAACTTGACAGTCCCCCGGCTTAGAACCGGGGGTAGGAGGGCTTCTCAAACTCATGGGACACATCCAGGCTGCTTCTGGAACACAGGGATTTCAGTCTAATGCCCACAGATTCTGATCCACTTGGCCTTGGGGAGACCCTAGAAATGCATACAGCCCTGTGTTTAACAGGCATCCCAGGGATTTGATATAGGCCATCCCAGCCCAGCCCTGAAGCGGCCAGTCCGAGCCAGAGGCGATGCCATGACCTCCATCTGTCACCCACTTTAAGGTTCAATTAACCTCTCGACAGGAAACTTCCCTGTGGCTGATATATTCATCATTACAGTTTAAAACCCAACTTGTTTTATTCAAACCTAAGAAAGGGTTCTGAATAACCCTGGCCAACCGTAAGGTCCCAGGGTTTCGCCATCTGCAAACTGGGCTGCCATTTTAAAAAGCACAAGAAAAGGATGATGTGAGTAGTGATGGGGAGGCAGGGTTTTTGAGACCTCTGCTTGCAAATTACGAAGTGCCTTTTAACTAGAAGCCGTGCATGGGAACAAAAAGAAACAAACTGGTGGCTTTATAATATTGGCCTGAATTTACTGTGGACACAGCACCCTGGGAGGGATCTTACACTCCCTACATGACCTCAACCTGTCTCCACAGGTGTCTCTTCTGGACGTGAAGGTAGACAGACCAGGCCCAAGGGAGCAGCAGCCTGCATCTGTACCTCCAGAAGTGGGTGCAGGGAAGAGAAATCTGTTCTAGGCCTGTTCCAACCCAGACAGAAGACACAACGGCCAGGGTATGTATTGCACATCACTAAATTCCATTTAGTGCTAAGGCGATCAGCACGGCCACTGCAATCACCTGTAAGGCTTAATGATTTTCTGCCCGTATTTCAGGGCTCCTTCCCAGTCTTGCATGTACAAGCAGACGCCCATGGCCTGGTACATCATGTGCAGCATGTACACGTTGCTGTCTTCAAACACAGAGCTCATCTTCTCCTGGCTGAGCTCGCAGATCTCCAGCAGCTCACTAGGGGGTGCTCTGGCGTCAAGGAAATGACAGGCCGGGCCCGCTGGGCTTGGAGATTTCCCACGGCAGGTCTGAGGAGTTACTTGTTCCTCTCCACCCACACCCTCTGAAAAAGTAAATTACAGAACGCCAAGCAAGAGAGGAATCAGGTTTTTCCTGAAGAAACAAACTAGGGAAAACTAAAGACCTCAGCTTTGAAACCAAGAGACTTATAGCCACAGGGAACAGGTGCTCAGTTCAGCTGTAAACGATGTTGATTAGAATTACAACTCTTCAATCTTCTAGTTAACTTTATTAAACCCAAGCTGAGCATTTCAGCTGAAGCATTTTTAAGGATTACGTCCCCACCATGGCTAAATTCTTCTGTACATGGAGGAAAAAATGTGCCTTACTCTAATTCCTTATCAATGGTTTTAGTTCTCCCTTGGCACAAATCTAATGCCTTTTCAACACCCAAGAAAATGCCATAATGTAATGGGTAAGAATATGGAGTGTGGTAGTCAGCACACCTGGGGCAAAATCCTGGCTCCACCTGGTGAGCTGTGTCCCTTGGGCAAATCGCTTGCTATCTGCTGTTTCCAGCTGCTATGGGGGATGGGTGGTGACAGTCCCTTGTTAGTGTCCCTGGGAGTAGGTGAAACAGTAAAAGCAGAGCCCCGGGCATTGTGCCTCACTCACAGTGAAATACCCAATAAACAAGGGCCTTCAAGGAACTGTCGTCCACAGTTTCAGACAATAAAAGCTCCCAACCAAACTAGTCAAAGAGAAATAAGATCAGCATTATAAACCTCTGCTGTGGTTGACTTCAAGTCATAGGTGGTCGGTAAGTCCTTAGATTTACCAGGAGACCATCTCCCTTAAATGTTCAGAATCCACAACCCGGCCTTTTTCTGCTCTGTCTTTCCAACTGTCCAACACGACGAGGTAAACTTCTGACAGTTCTAAAGGATATATTTGTAGTGCTTGGCCCTGCGGAACTCCTCGATCACATTGCGTGCGTATCTGACCATGTCATGGATGGCCTCTGCCTTTGGAGGGTCGCTGAGCTTCCGGATTTCCACCTTAGCCTTATCCTGAGGAAAAACGTCCACACATGCAACGGGTTAATACTCATGGAAACCATACAGATGGGAAACTTCTCAAATAGTATGTTTTTTCGTGCAGAAGTAGAGGCTTGCTCATTCTGAAGTCACAAAAGAACTAAAGGAAATCAGGCAGTGGATCGAAGAGAAATTCAATATTTCCATTATGTTTTTACAAAAATAGGAATTTTCTAGACAATCCTTATGTAGGCAGAGGACACCTAGAATATGTTTGCTGTGGGCGGATATGTTCACATCTGTGAGTCAAGAGAAGAGAATAAGCAGGGATGGCCCTGACAAAATAATTTGGGTACTGCCAGAGAAAATTCATATTCCAGTGAACAGGTTGGAAAGCCTGCAAATTATTCTCATGGGCTTTCCCCCTGCCCTCGCTTTTGAGCAGTCATTCATTTTCAAGAAGTTGCAATTTACCAAATCCTTCCTTCTCTTGTTTGCACAGTGTAACAGAAGTGTTTTCATCAGCTGCAAGGATCAGGTTTGACAGAGACCTGGTCCAGCTGGATTTCCTCTGTTGTCTTAGCAAGATGGGTTTAAAGGGTCAAAACGGCCACAGGAGGAGATACCCCAGATCAGCCAGGGGCACTCGCCTGGCAGACAGGGGCCTGAGACGTAGAGCGTGGCCACACCTGTGCCGGGTCAGGAGCTTACCTTGTCTTTGGTGGTGCACTCCTGGCACTCACAGGTAAAGAAGTAGGAATCTCGTAACCGGTCATTCCTATCCTCTGTTGGGTACAGGAGGTCGATGTAGCTGGTAAAAACCTAAGGGGTTCCAAACGGTTGACACTGCAGTCTGCTACAGGTGACCTGGCTCCTTGTCCCCCCATGCCTCTGCAAACACCTGGGGTGGTATCCTTGCCACGACAGAGTTAGGAGGGCCAGAGCTTAGGATATGCTCTTTACCATTGCACGCTGCAACCTTAAACTCAGCAACCTCCAGTGATGTCCACCTCCTTGTGGTGGAAGAAAGGCTTCTCCTTCCACCTCCTACAGAATCAAGGAGTCCCCCAAACAGTAAATTGGAGGGTTGAAAGCATCCTGCCTCCTTCCTCCCTAAGGAGAGCAAGGTGAGGATTGGTCCCAGCAGTAGATGGCCTTGCCTCAAGCGTAGAGCAGAGCCCTCCCCTCCACCCCCACTTAGGCAAAGGCCCTACGCACCCTTGGAATTGGCCCTGTGTTGTCTCCACCTGGCCTTTATTTAGCCTCTTTTACTTCTCAAGCAGGGACGGCTCAGCTGCATCGCACAGTGGGTGCAGGGGGAGCAGGAACACATGCACTGATCAGTGTCCCTTTCTCCTTCCATCTGCTGGCCGCGGAGCAGGAAGCATGGCTCAGCGGGCTGGGAGAGGGCGGAATGGAGAGGATGGGCTCCGAGGAGCCCAGCCTGACGCTGCGTCACCCAGCCAGGCCAGAGAGCTTGGGAAGTCTTACTGTTGGGCTCCTCGGGTTCTCCCAGCCTTGCCTGCTCCTACCAGGGTCTATAACTGAGACTTGGAGCATATGGAGGAGACCGGCATTTAACTGTCCATTATCTACTCACTGTGACAGCGCTCGCCACTCATCCCACACCATCAGGCAAATGTCTGACTGAACAGATGGATGTCACAAAGCTGCCAGCATGCCAGGAACCTCAGGCACCGACAGGCAGGCGGGGGACCCACAGGGGCCATGTACTTGCAGGCGCTGCTGGCCAAGCTCTCCCGACCCAAAGGGCTGTGATGGAGACCTCGGGGCTTGTCTGACACCCTGGGGAATGGGCTTTTGCCTCTTTGAAGGGCAAGTCTCCGCCTAGCAGTGACCTCCCCAAAACGAGGTAATTGCATTTCAGATTTGTTAGAGCACCAGGACACACCAACAGGGTGTCGCCCTGCTCTGCCTCACATGGCAAGAACTGCCTCATGTCTTTGAAATAATTGATGGACACAGTGCAATGAACAGAAGGGGCCAGTAGATGGCGACAGAGGCCGCTCGGTGTCCCTAGCGGACCCCGTAGTCTGGGTGACAGCGCCCACAAGAGCACGGGGTCTGGGGGCTTAGATGCTGCTGACTCGCAGCAACTGTTTGCACAAAAGCGGCATCAGAGTAATGGCCTCGAGACATTCGAAAACCAAGACACCTGACCCCAAACAGGATATCCTCGTCATGAATTTAGCAAAGGGTGTAAAGTTTAACCTGTTCCCTGGTCTGCAGATCCCAGTTCTGCTGTGGGTTAGTGAACAACTTCCAGAGAAACCAAGGCCTTTATTACTTAGCACACTGATGATTATATTTAATATTTAAAATATCCAGACATGCACCTTAAAATAGCATTAAAGATCGTTAAACTGAAATTCCAAGCGTGTGATTACAGTCCCTCAAAATTCATGTGTCTTGCTAAGGACTGTAGCCTTTGCTTAAGAACGCAGGGCATATACATCTAGCAATCCGCCAGGCCGGCCTTTCGGACGTGAGAGGTCTTACAAAGCGATCGTGGGATAGCAGCACGGGAAGGGGAGGGAGTCGCCCTGAACCTGTGGTTCTGGTTCTCTCCGCGTCTCTAAGCTGAGGAGGGAGGCGAATGGTGCCTGCGGGCCCCAGGCTACCTCCACTCCCACCGCTGGCTGGCTGACATTCCTAAAAGATGAGCTCTCCAAAGTTCAGATGTGAATCTGTGAATTTGATACTACACAAAACACCGATGTGTCACTTGGAGTCACAGCTCTTCAGCTAAGGCAGGGGTGCATTTTCTCTTTTAGATAACCATGCTTTTGACTTTTGTGGGGGAGGAAAACAGGCCCAAATTCACTAATAAAAAAAAAGAGAGAGAGCTCAAGCTGCATTGTTTGGCAATAGGCATATTTAGAGAGAATCCAAAATTTAATTTTGGTCATTTTAGCTAAATCCTTTCTCTCAAAATCTCTATCAATCTTTGTGAGGAATTTAACTCAAAATTTACTCCTTCCTGTTTTTTCTTGGGCACAGATGGACATGGCGAGCACCAAACGGAAGCCAGAAGTGTGGGAGTCCAAGCCATAGGTCACAATCTGATCGTTAACCCTGAGGGCCTGAGGACAGACAGAGCGTAGGTACGGGAAGCATTCACAGCCACTCCTGTCCAGGAAGGCTGCGGACTTTTCTACGAGGCCCTTTAAACCCTTTAAAACTCTCTGAAGCACACTGCCCCAGCCACCCGGGACCACACACTCACCTCCTCTCCCGGGTGAATTTCCTGTACAGCTCTTACTTCTGCCAGGGTCCCCTTGTAGGTCACAATGACATTGGGGCAACAACTGTGATTCATCAGTGCAACACTGTCAATCAGAAGAGAAAACCCAATTTTCTCAGGAAGGCAAACCGTTAGGGCGACCCTCGGTGACCTCCTTGTTAGGCTGTAGGAACTGGACTGTCCCAGGACATCAAGAAATCATCTAACAGTTGCCATCATATTCTAAGGGGTGGTTGTGCATGCATTCGTAATCATATCTAACACCTTAAATTTCACCAATGTTGAAAAGACACAATTCAAAAGAGTGAGATTTGTGCCTGAAACAAAACCATACCCTAATATAAACAGCAGCTACAAATGGCATTAAAATTCCTTCCTGTGAAATACAGGAATCAAAACCCAACACCTACAGTGAACGGCTACTCCACTGTGTACTGGACAAGGCAAATGGGTTGTCATTTCCAAGAAGCTTTTTATATTAGTGTATTATTTCTCACGTTTCCTCTAGATGCTGAGAAATCGCCACTGTGGGAGATGCAGCTTCCTAAACGAGAGACCTGGAGAAGCTCAGCTGAGACTCGGCACCTCAATTTCCTCATCTGGAAAATTGGGACATTACTGTTCCTGTTGCTCGGCATCTGCTTTTCAGGGATGGCAGAGGACAGAGATTCGCCTATGCGAGGGGCTTTGAGCTTTCTGATTATATATCAAGGTCAAAGTTCTGAGAACAGAAATGTCTAAACTACAGGGGAAAAGTGTTTGATCTCTGAAAATGGTGCCTTTGAAATCACAATGCCCATATGACTTCTACCCCAAGGGATTTTTTCCCCCCAATTAAAACTGCCTGGAAACTGGGACTCATAGGGGCACTCACATCCATACGTATCATTGATCTGGTGGCCAGTGTCACTTGCCTGGACCCTCGGCAACCGAATCACCTGTCGTGTTTGCCCCAAGAATACAAAAAGCAAAGGGGCGGTGAGGCCTGACAAGGATGAGCAGCCCCGGGGTTGCCAGGCACAAGAGGGAATGGCATCCTCCACCTCCCAGGTGCTGGAGGTCTGAGTGCGGTGTGCGGCTGGCCTTGAGCCTGGAACAACGTGCAGCAACTTCTCTGTCTTGGGGAAGGTCACCTCGGCCACACATCAGACCACCCAGCTCACCGGCAAGTGGTGCACGGCAACCAGGCTTCAGGAACTCCAATACCAACCAAAGTTGTTCTTAATGGAAAAGCAGATTTCTAGAACCATCTCGCAGAAGTATTAAATAATTCATTTCAAGACAGACTCCTGGAGATCTTTCTAGCAAAGGTGGGGGAAAGGCACTAAGGCTAAGAGTTGAAAATAAGTCATGCCCCTGGTATCATCATTCTCTTGGCCGCCACTGCCAAGGGCGAAGCTCAGACAATACCAGTCTCATCCGGCTTTCAGTCTTTAAGATTCGAAGAATAGAGACATTCCAGAGTTCATTTCAGATCCGAAGCTGTCGATAGAGCCTTCTAAGGAGAGTCTAATGGGCTTTCTCTTTTTTTCCTTCCTTTCCCCAAGAGCAGAAGTCCAAAAGGGCTTCTCCCCAAACACTTCTTTCCTCACTACTGGGATTCAAACTGCTGATGACACCATTCTGGCCACAGGGACGGTAAAATTACATGAATAAACTGTTTCTCTGGTTCAAGAAAGCCTGTGACAGCTGCTCAGGAGACACAGACCAGTATTTTCTCTACCTTTCAGACCCACAGGATACACAGAGCTGAGCTTCAAACAGACAGACGCTCCCACGTCATCCATGGCAAATGCATGGGTGTTAAGGGTTTCCTGCAATTGCTTCAGCCTAAAGCCCAAGGCTCCTGTAGTGTATATTAAGCAACATCACTTCAGCTGGAACTAATCTACACTGTGGTTTAATTTAACCCAGGGATGCAGGAAGGGCTCTTCTGCTCAATCTGTGAAGTAAGGACTTGATTTCAAGGGACTAAAGCATCTTGAAAATATTCATTCCATCAGAGAGATGACAGCAAAGCCATTCTTGGCAATCCACTGACATCAGAGCTATAAAGATCTCCAACTGTCAAATGGCCAGTCTTTCTCAATTACTTGAATATTTATGAAATAAAAAAAATCCTGTAATTCTTTAAAATTTTCCCCTACTTCACCACTTTAGCATATTCTTCCTCCAAACTATGCTGTTTCTCTACTGCTATTTTTCAAAAAAAAAAAAAAACAGATGGAGAAGCTGCTCAGATATTCTCTACATAAGCCTATGGCCAGTTCTTGGTTGGCAAATAGTGTTTTCCTTTGATTGTAAGAAACCCAAAGATTTCCAGAACCACAGATATGCAAAGAGCAAATTTCTCAGCAGGGCGTGGGATGTTCCTTCTGTGCACGCTGTAAAATATTCTTTAATAACAGCTCTCTACCTAGCAGGACTTAACAAGCAACTGTTCTCTTAACTACTACCTTCAGATCCTTAAATGTAGGGGAAATATTTTGAAATCTGGCAGAACTTTAAGTGTCTCAATTCACTTGATGATTCATGTCTGCCACATGCAGTTAGATAGGTTATTGAAAATTTTTTAAAAATCATATTAGTGTTGAATAAGTAAGAAGAAAAGAAACAAAGTCCAACTCAGCCTACTCAGGAAATATTGCGGACCCCAAATGAGAAAGTTCTTCATCCTCAATTGTGAAGCCATTACAGTTAACCTGCAGTGAGAAAGGGGGAGAAGGAAAATAAAAAATGAGCTCAATGTTCTCTCTGGATAGGAATCATTTCTTTCATTTCAACCTTTAGCAAATTTACTAGCAAGATGTTCCTGTTTACTGATTTTAAAACCTTTCTTTTGGCCAATGTATCCTTGTTCAGACAAAATGTACCCATTAATCTACAACTAACCCATCAGTCTTCCATGTAAACAAAAGCAGAATTATTAGGAATGAAACAGCTTTAAGTCTAGCCCACCTGCCCCTAACACAGAAGCCTAAGAACAGCACAGATCACAAGACTCTGAAGACTATAGTCTGCACATAGGCACAGGGGTGAGGATGCTTGAGTCTAATTCCAATCACGCCACAGATCTGAGGTGGGATCTGGAGCCCATCACTGACTTCCTCTGTCCTCAATTTTCTCCCATTAAAAAAGAAGTCATGGGGATGTAACGTACAACGTGGGGAATACAGTAGCACCATATTAACTCTGTAAGGTGACAGACAGTAACTGGACTCACGGTGCTGACCATTTCACAATGTAGACAGAGGTGGAATCGCTACGTTGTATACCTGAAACTAATATTGTATGTCAGTTATACCTCGATAAGCAAAACAAAACAAAACAGAAGCCACTGAATCTGGTAGCTATCACGGGAAGTGAGCTGGTAAATATCAAAGCCCTTACACAGCCGACCTTCCTGCTGTCTTCCGTCCCCTGGAGAGGCAGGGGGCTGAAGCTGAGGGACTGAGACCTACCTTTCATGTCTCAGCCAGATCAACCCGTGGCCACTGTTTCATCCTTGAAAAGTACCAAGCGTGACTCTCACCACTCTGGAGTGTCATCTAGAGCTAGCAGGCTAAAACTGAGGAATACACACCCCTAATCTGATGCTCCATAGATTCATTCTTTCCACATTCATGAGAACTCTTAGGTACTGGGCCCTGTGCCCAAAACGATGGACAGGCCCCAATCTGGGCCCTCAAGGAACAGCCAGTCTATTGAGAGACAATTCAGTGCGTGTTTTTCCTTTGTACTGAAAATTTCAGAGCTGGAAAGGGACACAGTCTCTTTATTTTTCAGATGAAACTGAGCTCAAAGAGATGCGGTGACCTGCCCAAAGCCAGCATCAAAGGCGGAGAGACGTGCTGCTCCCAGTGGCAGTGGAGGCTGCCTGTGAGGTGTGCATGCTGAGCGACCTCACCTGTGGGCTGGACATGCTCCTCCCCGCCGGAGAGGCTGCACCGGTATGTTTCAGGCCAAAGGGTGGACTTTTTGAAACCAGCACCCGCTGAGCATTTACTGTGGGCCAGGCACTGGGCTAGGTGCTGCAGACACACCCCTCATAAATCTGCCACCACTACTCTGGCATAACCCATTTTACGGATGTGAAAACCAGCTCAGCAAGTACAAGGATTAACTTGTTCAAGGCCACAAAGTAGTGAGTGGCGGGACTGGAACCAGAACTCACACCAGACATTCAGCAGCAGAGCTGTCAGAAACCCAACGGTGTGTCTTTTCACTATACCATGCTTCTTCCAAAATGGTTCTGACCTATGAATGTTAATGTGGCAATTTTACATAAAATTAAAGGGCCGATGTCAAAGGCTAGGAAATCTTGGTACACAGAGGAGTAAAAGCTATGATGGGTTTGACTTGCAGTTTTTACGATTCAGCATATTTACAATACAGCATATTACAAGGTAAATATTTACAGATTTTTCTCTCATACTCTGAGGTACAAGAGATTACCTCAGGTTAATAGAATGATACACAGCCTTTGAAATCCTGAGGTGTTGGGCATTTTTACATAGAAGTTTTAGCATACTATTTTTTTGTGCCAGCTTCCAGTACTCTAGCTGATGCTGTCATCAGGCCATCAATCAACTACCATTAGCCAATGACCATCAACCGGCACTAGGGAAGTGTAAATTAGGAATTTATTCATTCAACAAAATTTATTGGAACATGAGCTATGGTATCCACGATATGACAATGAATGTTTGCAGAAAGAAGAAAAGAAATGAATAAAAGAATGAGAGGATTTAGCAACAATTTTCAAAACTGAGCTGGAGGCAGACAGCTCCTGACCGAGCCTGAGGGTTGGGGACTTGCTCCTTTGCTTCTCTGTCTCTTCCTCTGCATGGAGCTCAACTGGGCCAGCCTATGGCTTAAAATTCCTCTGGGCTTGAATGCTCTAAGGCCGCTGATGGCTTAGCCCCACTGCCCTCCCCTCCTGCTATGGAAAAGCCCGTGTGTTTCTTCAGCAGCAAAGCCTCCTGTAGGTACATGTGTCCTCACTGTTTTCTTTCTGGGAGGCAGTGATGGCACTGAAGCCAGATTGCACAGCAATCTTCTGAAATATCCCTGGAGAAGGACAGTGAGCTTGTGTGTTAAGAAAGATACATGGGCCACAGTCCTTTTCTTTTTATTAAGTCCAATCAGGCATAAATGTCTTGCTAAAGCTATTCTCATAATTAGCATTTAGACTAGATGTAGGCTGCACACCAAAAATACATTTCCCCAGCATGCATATGTTCCCAGTGATTACAGTGCACCTCGGTGCTGTCGAAGGAGAGCAGTCGCCTTCTGCTGCCAGCTGCTTCTGGGCCACAAGTTAACCCACAACACCCTCCCGTGAACCAGACAGGAAAGGGCTCAAGGGCTGGAACAGCACTTTGCTTTAGAGTTTTCTTCGAGGCTTTGATGTCCCTTTTCAAATTTATATATGAAAGAGATACAATGTGTGTGTGTATTTATGTGTATACACACAGTTTCAGAATGGGTATGATTTGATAAATATTAAGTCTATAAAGGAATTAATTATCTGCAGTTATAAATGTGTGTGTGTGTGTGTATGTGTGTACAGAGAGACAGAGAGTTATCTATATATCTGTCTCTATCTTCTGGATTTTCTGGGTCAGTCCAAATTTCAAAGACTCTGAATCATTTTCACAACAAATATACTTCTGCTTGTGAGATCGAGTGCCTTGATTTTTGGTGATGAAATATGGTCCCCTATCTACGACATCACCACTGAGAAGTCCCACCAGCGTGGGCACTGTGACAGAGGGCACGTCTGTTTTTCACAGCTAGAAGTGAAGATACCTTCTATCTATTTCATCTCTCCTGCTTTCGCACCTGACTGTGCCTCATCTAATCCAGACAAAATGTCATGAATCTAGTTTTTTAAAAAATGGAAGAGAAGTCAATTCCCCAACCTTCCACTCTCCCCCAAATCCACTGTCACAGGATGCTTAGGAAAGTATGTTGTAAATCCAGGATACTACCACGAAGATCAGGGAGTCAGGAAGGGCCCTCATTACTTCTACTTTAACATTTGTACCCGAATCCATTTTTTCTCTTACAAAGAACAGCATTTTATTTTTCTGATTGTGACAGTCACACAGTAGAAATATTATCTATATAAACATCAAGGCTATCAAGGAATTCATCAAACTGTTAAGAGTGGCTCCCACAGTGGGTTAAAGTACATTCATGAAGTGATAAAGACTCAGTTCTTTCTTTACATATGTAATTTTTAAAGTGGAAAAACTATGGGCACTTTTTTTATCACTTTCTTCCTTTTAGTATTTCCTTAAGTTATTCTTGCTTATTGTAGAAAATCCAGAAAACCATTCAACAAAAAAGCAAAACTAACCAATGTGAACTTCCACTTAATCATCTTTTACATATATATGTGTATTTTCATTTTACACACAATTTTTATTCTGCTTTTACACTTAATGTTATATCATCAACATTTTCCATATCTTTAGACATTCTTTGAAATAGCACTTATAAAGGCTACATAACCTTCCATCAAAAGGCTATGCATAATTATCAAACTCCTACTGCTGGCCACTTATAATACTTCCTTTTTCTTTTTTTTTTTTTTTTGGTTTTAAGGAGAACCCCACAATAAACAATATGCATGTCGATCCCTGTCCATAATCGTTGATTATTCCACAGGCCAGATTCCTGAAAATGTAATTACTGGGTCAAAGGGTACACAGGTGATGTTTATTCTTTTCTGAGACAAAAATGTGTGAGTAGCCACCCAAACGCTTTTATGCATCTAGAGACGGAAGGTTCTGGCAGGGCAGCAGCATAGTGACTCGCAACCCACAGAGTAGCATCCCATTTCAGTTTCTCTTCTGGGGTGGTTACCTTCAACTTCAAGTTCAGCTTGGAGGGGAAAATGCAAGGCTGTACTGGGGAGAGAAATTGGATACAGCAAGTCGCGCCGGGAGGCACCCCCTCACAAAACAGGAAGATGGATGCAGCCAGACAGGGAGCGGCCGGAGGGTGCTGGCCTTCCTGCCTTCTCTCGCCCTGACCATGCCTGGGCCTCACACCCGGCTGGTCCCCATTTCTTAATCGCTTTTAAGTTGCTCTTATCTAGAACTCTAATTTTTTATTGTATGTGACTTTGGTAAACCTGGGCTTCTCTAAAGAAAATTTCTTAGCCTCCTTCAGGAAAGACTTCCTGCACGCGGACCCACTCGGGCTCCTCTCTGCGGTGACCGCCCTCCCTAGGGCCACCAGAGAGGGCCTCCCTCTTGGGCGCACCTGCGTTTGCCTCTGCTTTATAACACAGGCTTGGTAGGAGAAAAAGGAAAACAGTACTGTGAGAGTGGAAGGTTTAAGAAAAGAAAAATTTAATGTAGGTCAAATAGTCGTGTCTTTTTTAAAAGCTTACAGTATGCCACAGTATTGGGGGTGGGAACATGCAGGGTTTCATGAACTCTTTCTGAGGCGGGAGGCAGATGCGGGAATTTCCTATGCTCTACCCACCAGGAAGGCCCAGCACAGACAAGATCCCGATCCGCTCAAGGTCACCCACCAAGGCCATGCAAAACAGGGTCCAGCAGGTCAAGAGCCTTGACAAGTAGAAGCCATCATCCTATTTCATTCTTCTTCACCAAGCGTGCGCTGCAAAGAGCGACGCGGGTGGGAAAGGCGGCCTAAGTGTCACTTGATGCTTGAGCCCCTCCTACCTGTGCGAACAGCACAACCAGGCTATCGGCGTCTGGGAATTCCAGGTGCTTGGAGTAGAAGTGGTGGAGAGCAGCAATGTCACCCTGAATCAGATCCTTCTTCTCATTGTCTAATTTATCCAGATCTGTGCATAAGCAAACCATTATTCACCAGGTAGAACACTGGATTTCTAAACACAGCCTTTTCTTACAGTACAGGATGTGGAGGAGAGGAAAACAATAGTGTGGGGGGCGCGCACAAAACCGTCTTCCTTGTCACTTGGTCTAACTGATAAACCCTAGGGAAAGAAAAGCCTGTCATCTCTTCTCTTCCTCTGATGACCAGCATTCACTCAGGATGTGATTTTCAGCTGCCCGTTAGCAGTGAGGTCAGGGATGAGTGGCAGTGACTGATAACCAGCCTCGGTCTAGTCAAGGGCTGCCCTTCCCTGCCACACACACACACACACACACACACACACACACTGGTCCTGGAATCTGTGTCGTGGTCAAGAAACTGGACAGCCCCTGATTTAATGCCTTTCAGTAAGGACATCAGCTGTTTACAGGACTGCAAGTCAGCAAAGATCCAAAAATATTCAGCATGCCAGGAGGGCCGGCAGGAGACAGCCCAGGATACAATCACTCATTCTGCGAGTTCCTACTTCCCCCCTTAATTATTTCCTAGTAATCCTGTCAACTCAGAGAGAAAAAAAAAATTGCAGTCATTTTTTAAAAGAGCACGAGTCAAAATAAGAACTAGTAATTAAAAAATCACCACCACACTAAGAAGAGAAGCTATCCCTTCCTTCCTCCAATCCTGCCTAATCCACATTGAATGTGTGGCCAAAATAATTCCTCACCCAGTCACAGAAAGACTTACGTGATTCAAACTCCTTCACGGCTAAGAGTTTCTCTGAAGGTGTTCTCTCTGGGTGGATTTTCTAATAATTGGGGAAGAAATCACACAGAAACAGATTTTACCAACCAGTGCAAAAAGCAGAGCTGTCACTTTTACATCGGCGTGAAGAAAAAGCAACAATTCCCAATGAAGTCAAGAAAACGATCCAAGGAGCCCGCTATCTGAGGTCGGAGAGGCGCCTGCCCGACATCCAGATTCAAACGACTCTTGAGAAATACTTTTTAAAGTGTCCGCCATGTTCCGAACACCCTGGTGGTATTATGCACACAGTAGGCTCAAAATCAACTTGTTAAGGGAAGGAACAGTGACTAGAAAATGACTTTTTAGGGCTCTGACTTCAAAGGACTGAGTCTACGGATGAACCATCCTATTTATTATTTCTCCTTCTAAAAAGGAACAAAATCAAACCCCCCATCCATTTTACACTTTCTTTAAGCATAAGCTAAAACGATCTCAAATTCTGTGTTTCAAAAGGAACACTTTTGGTTGTATCTGTGAGCCCAGATTCACTTTAAACGTGTCTCTGGCTTTGTTCTAGACACCCTAAGAGGCACTGACAATAGTAAACCTGCTAGGCTTTGAGAACATGAATAAACTTGGTGTTGACAAGCGTTCAAAAGCAGAGCTCAAGAGCTGGCCTGAGGCCATGTCTTTGTAATCTGGCTATTCAATTTGGGGATACAGGTGGTCTGGCAGGGTGCTCTCACCTCCTGAGTTAACATGGGAAGCTTCCCCTTGGTACTTGGATAGCCTGTCTCCCCTAATCCTTTGCAAGCTACTAGAATACAAATGGTCTGGTCTTTTAATCATCAAGTCCTATTGAGATGAAAAGATGGCCAGGTAAGTTTTTATTTAATAGACTATTAGTAATCGTAGTAATTATAATAAAAGTTGAATGAAACTGGTACAAACTCATCCTAGCATTCCGACTACCCGACTAGTGCCAAAATGTTTCGATAGTTCTTTTTTGGAGCAGAAATCTTCCATTCACGGGGTACGTTTCTATAAGATTAGTAATTCATCTTGCCTGGGGAAGCATTTCATTCAGGAAAGTACACAAGCTTCTTCTGAATTCTTGACCACAACACGATAAATACCAAGGAGTTGGTGCCGTGTGGGGGAGAATCAACAGACCGGTCAGCCAATCCTCCCAAGATGCCTGCAGATCTAATTTGATAGCTAATTTATCCTGACACTTCACCCAATCACATCATTTCCTTCTACCCTTTCTTTCCCCACCAAGCACTCTGCAAATATTTAAAGATAACTGGTGTTAAGGATCCCAAAGTTAACCTTCCCCAGGGAAAATAATTCTGATCTTTTGGTCTCACTCTACAGGCAACCCCCGAATGCCTCTGGTTTCCCCGAGTGGCGAAGTGGCACTTCAGCAAGCACCTGACCCAGCCTGTGAGCATAATGGAACAATGACTTCAGAGTCTGGAAATGTTCTACTTCTGTTTATGTGGCCTGGGATCCTAAACTGGGCTGGGGACAGATGTGTGCTAATCATTATGATCACATTTGGCTTAGATAAAAAGCAGCAAGTTTTAAGTGGGGGTGGTATGGTATATGAAGAAAAGGTGGACAAAATTCCAGCTTTAAAAGATCAACAGTACAGAGGCCCTGCCACCAACTTACAAGCAAGGCCCTTGGTGGACAGATGCCTTTAAGCTCCCCGCAGCCTATTTCATGGTGGCACAAGGACAAGTCCTGCAGTGGTTTCCTCCCCTCTTTTTGGTTTGATCCTTTGTAGACCAGGCCTCTCTCACGGTCACGCAGCCAGTGAGGAAGGTGCAGACAAGGGGAGGATAGCCAGTCTTTGGGGAAAACTGGTGATAGCTATCATTGTTCCCACAGGGCCATTTCTCCCCTTTCTTCTATCTTTTCCCCTCCCCCTCCTTGCCTCCATTCCACGTTTGCATTTCCCTCTCTTCTCCTTTGCATGTGCCAGGCTGGTCGCTGCATCCATTCCTTGCCCACCTAGGCAAGGGTGAAGAAGGAGCCAGGGCAAAGCAGGACTGGGTGCAGGGGGTGGCCGTGTCAGTGTGAAGAGGCGACCGTCGCAGAGCTTCACAGGTCAGTCTGCCTCCCTGTGATGCTCCGATTATTTGCAGACGGGTTTTCACGCCTTGAAAGGCCCTATGTGTCTATGTAAAGCTGTCTCATGCAAAGCTCAGAAATTAACAGCTGTATGTATGTTCCTGCCTGGGTTAAGTGACATCCTAGTTGCACAGGGCAAACGACAAACCAGCTTATGCCTGGAGTGTTGTTCCCACTCCCCTCCATATGGCTATGACAGGAAACGGGGTCCGAGACTATTTAACAAGAGACGACCACCACAGGGCAGTTACTCATCGTACTGACCTTTAGGAAAAAACTATGGTAAAAGGCACCTGCACATTAGCCCATTTCCTCACCTGTTTGGCAAGAATCCTTGCTGTTAGCCTTACAGTCTCTGAGGGATTCCAGTTTTCCCCAAAAACAACCATGGGAGAACATTCCAGCTTATGCATGGGCCAATCTTCTTTCTGGGAAGGTTAAAAAAATTATTAAATACACACACAAATACACACACACACAGGAATAAAGTCCCAGAAGAGAGGATACAATGCATCCTCCTGGTTAAGGTCAAGTGAAATATGTTTCCTTTTGGAAAACACAAAAATGCTCACAAAAGCTAAAGATAAAAACATCCTTCAAGATAGATATGGTTGTATAATGTTGACTCGGGCCTGACCAAGGTCGTTAGAATGAGAAAATGTGCTTTGCGTTTTTCATCGAGTAGGTGCAGCCCCTCCAAACAACGCGAACGCCTGTCCGTTCTCAGTGGGAGCTGCTGGGTGGCAGGGGTGAGGGGCTGGGCACCAGCCACCCACTTGTCTCTGCTCCCTGGCAGTTGTGTCTGGCTTGTCCTCACCCCAGTCAGTAAGCTAGTTCGCTGCAACCAGTCACTTCTGCAGGGGATAAAGACGGAACAGACCTGAGGGTTTTGTCAAGGGCCCCCACTGAGTCTGGCAAGGGTGACTCTTGGGAAGGTTTAGGGGACCTGAGCCGAGCAGGATGGAGGGGAGGACACAGCGGCGCCGTGGAGGCAGAGGAGAAACCTGCTCGGGGGACACGGAGGGGACCTAGCTTTGCTGGTGACAAGGGGCAGCGTGGTGACTGAGGACTGGCGGATTATCGGGGCAGGGACTGCTGACCCTGACAAAAACTGGCTGTGGTGGTCTGATGGGGACAAGAGACAGCGGGCAGTGGACCCCAGAGAGGGTGGAAGTAGATGCAGAAACTGGGAGAAATGGGATGAAGGCTTAGAGTGGTGCAGGTGAAGGGCCTTATTTTCAGATGGCAGCATTTCCACACATCTGTGCTGATGTGGGCCTCCAGGCGCCCCTCTTCACAGTGCAGCTGGGCACTGTCTCCTTCCCTCAGCCCTTCCTTCCTCAGCAAATGGCCCGTCTGTCCTCTCAGGCTCTGGCTGGAGACCGGGAGTCACCCCCGCCTCTCCCTCAGACACCCTTCCCTCCCTCACACTCCAGTCAGCTATCTGGCAGATCCGTGCGCTCTGCCCGCGGGATACCTAAGGCATCTGGACACTTCTTGCTGCCCGGGAGCAGCCCCGCCAGGATCCTGTCTCCCCACTGCTGCCTGGGCCACCGGGCCTCCTCTATCCCCACAGACCAGCCCAACAGGGCAGCCAGAGCAATCAGCCCTGTTGCACAAAACACAGATGGCGCCAGTTCCCAGCTCAGGCCAGTTCTCAGCTCTCAGGCTTCTCATCTGAGAGCAAAACAGGGAGCCTTACAGATGACCTGTGGGAGCCTCCTCTACTCCTCCGAGCTCCCCATCTCCTACCGCGAACTCCTCGCCTCCCCCCCTTGTTCCTTGCTGGTCCTTGAAGACACTGAGCAGCCCCCTGCCTCAAAACCTCTTGCACTTGCTCCTCTTCTGGCTCAAGCCCCCTCCCCTGGATATCCACGTGGCTCCCTCCCTCCCTCCTCCAGGTGTCTGCCTGCAAGTCACTTTTCCAAGACACCATCACCAAGACCCCATCAAAACCAGCACTTTCCCCATCACCCTGCTTTCCCTGCATTGTGTCTTTTTTGTACTGCTCACCATCTATTACAAATTTATTAGTTTTTTGGTTTAGTATCTGTCTCTCCCACCATTAAAATAAAAGAACTTGGTCTGTTTTGTCCGCACCTATAGTCTTAGATCCTAGAACACTGCCTGATATCTACTAGGCACTTAATAAAGTTGTTGAGTGAATGAAGATGTCACCCAGCCCCCTCCACCTCAGCCTAAGAAGGGAGGGCACCATGTCACTTGGCGATTGAGTGCAGTGCATGGCACAGAACCGCAGGGCTCAAACTCTGTGCCAAGCTGCCGAGTTAAGTAACATGCTGAATATAACTAAGAGCAGGAAGAAAAACAAGTGACAAGGTATGTACAAGCGGGAAGAGGATCTGTTTTTAGACAAAGCCTAAAATGAGAGGACAGTGATGTGGTAAAGAGGTGGGAACAAGTGGGCAGCTCCCTGCAGACAAACCAGTTGCCTCCCCAGATGCAAAGCAAACAGGGAAAGACAAAGGGCTTCAGGTCTGGCGATAGTTGAGAGGCAGAAGAATCCTCCACCACTATGAACAAGTGTCCACTATGACCCCAGGAACTCTAAGATAAAGGTCTTTGCAGAGACTTTAAGATGCTGTTTTTCTTGATTGTAGGTGGTGTCTTTGGTGTTTAACAACAATGAGTTCCTGGGGAAAAAAGTTTTAATCTTAACATTTCTTAGTGTGACTATTTATTAATAGAATGAATTTATTAATATAATAAATGTTAAATTAACATTAATATAAATAACATACAATGTTGACATTTACTGATGTAAATGTCCTCAAAGAAAAGGGAACTTCATGACAGGAACGCTCTGGAGGGAGAGCAGAGTGCTGTCAAGTAAGAGGACACTGGTCTGGGGTTCCGGAAACCTTCATTCTTACGGCTACCCTGCAGTGAAGCAGCTGTGGGCCGCCAGGCAGGCATCTTAATCCCTCTGCGTCTGTATCCTTGGCTGTAAATAACATAATCCCTCAGTTACTTAGCAGGTCCTGAATTCTGACTCTTAGGATTTTACACCTTCTGGCAGTGATAATCAAATACAAGGCTTGAAGACTACCAACAAATATAGGACCTTCAAAGAGGGATAATGGGACATTCATGCGACACACCGGGTTGTTGTGAGGACCCAATGATCTAATCCACCAGCAGCATTTACAACAGTGCCTGGCACTCAGTGTGCTTCAACAAACGTTGGTGATTGTTCATTTATGGCTCATTCATTCATTCATTCACTTATTCATTCATTCAATAAGCCCTGCAACTGATCCTAGAGGCAGGGATGCGAGATGAAGTCTTTGACCTTAAGTAGCCCATGACTATGTCAGTACCCAAGGTAAAAGTAAGAGTGCCTATAATGTGACACAGTCCCACACAAAAGCAGTCACACCAGGGAGTTGGATAAATTCAAGGGAGTGCAGAATCATCTAAGTTTCAGCAAGGGGAATTTACCAGAATAATAATATGCTTTCACTTTTGTGTTGGAAGGAAATGAGAGATGTGGATAACAGAGGCATGACAGAGATGTATCACAATGACACTGTTCAGCTCTAATTCTTCAAAAAAAGAAAAAAAGAAAAAAAAGGTGCAGGGTGGATAGCATCTGGAGGAAATATTAGATTCTGAGCCTTTCTTATACACCATCTTCTACCACAGGGACGGTCCGTATCTTAGAGAACCTGACAGAGGCCATGTGCCCTACTTTTGCTCATAAGAAATTATAAATAAACAGGTTGGACAAAATTGAAAAAAAAAAGTTAGGCTAACCTGGTTAATAGGAAGGAATGTTCCTATCAATCGTTTTGTTTTCTTTTGTTTTGGTAATGCCAGTTTCTTTGTCCACCAAGTAATTTTACAGTCCTTTATGGTTTTTCAAACATCTTTGTCAGTTTTTCTAAAACTTTTTCTACTGCTTTTCTTCAAAAGCCAAGCTATTGCTCCTGCCCTGATTGCAATTTGTGTAAAATTTAATGTCAACTTGGATTCCATTTTCCAGAAAAATAATATACACATAAATGCTCAGGATTCAGAAAGACATATGCCAAAGTGCTGCTCGTGATTTTCTCTGGAAGGATAATAGTATGGATACTGTCTGTTCTTCATTCAGTCTGTACTTTCTGATTCTTCTACAATGAGCACAGATGATTTGTGCAAAGACTTAAGCAGTCAAACCTATGTAAAAGTAAGATAAAGAAATTTTTATACCCTTTTCGAACTTCTAATTCATTTTCAGCCAATGTAACAACTGCTCTGCATGACTTTCCTTTCTGTGCATGGATAAAAATACTTAAAAGATGCAGGAATTGTTGCAAGACTGTTACATCATGCACCAGCATTTCCAACACTGGAAGAAAAGCATGATTGTATGTCACCCAGTTTTCTGCTGAGCAAACGATACACTGTCTTTCTGGACAAGGAGAACAGATTTTTATTGTGGAATCCCCTTTTCTAATTCTTGCTTTTGGTGTTTCAGTGGAGCTTTCAAAACAGACACAGTCTACCTGTACATGCGCATATGTAATCTCCTGAAATGGGGAAAAGCATGCATATTGGAGTTCTTAAAATGTGAAAAAGCAACAAGTCACAGGATTTCTGCTTTGCATTACCCATTACCTTCAAGAGGAAGATAAAAGGAAGCAGGGGCATACAGACCACCTCACACGAAGATGACTGGTGCTGTTGACCCCCCATCACAAGGACATGCTCTGTCTTATATTCCCTTACAAGAGTGACGGGTGCACTTGTTCATTGATACACATTCTTTCCTACCAGTGATGTGAACGATTCAGGAAAAAAAGTGGCTCAGTTTAAGATGCTTCCTATGTCTGGGTTACAAGATCAAAGTCAATTTAGCCAGGACTTAGCCTATGACTCTGGCCTCATTCACGAATCACCCATAACAATGACAGGGTCATAGGAGCATTTCTTGGACATTTCCTATACTTGTTATTTTCTGGTCAATAGTAAAAGTCAAGAAATTTCTCACATCATTGGTCACACCATCATCATAGTTTTTCCACCCCCTCCAACTTTCAAAAGCATACTCATAACCTCATTGCTTCCGTTTATAAAAAACAAATCATTTTTTTGTTTCTTAATGTTAAGAAATAATACCCTAGAAACTACCACTCCACAATGATTCCTCTATATAATAACTCTATAAAACTATTCTCTTGAATATGTCATGGTGCAATTTAATGAAGAAGTCGAAGTGAGTGAATAATATACTTGGTTTTCCAGGCATATTTATGAAAATAAATATAGTTCATTAAAATACACAGGTTACAAAAGAAGCCTAACTAAAAAGGAATTTCGATTTCTTTTATGTTCCCTCCACATCACCCTTTCATGCGTCATCAATTAAAATCTTCCCTTTGGCAGGATCACACTGAGTCAAGTGATCAACTAGAGAAGTGCACGGGGCAAAGTGCAGCCCATCTGTATAAAATAAGGCAAAATCCTGAAGCATGGCATTTTCAGAGGTGGGCTTGGGGGGAATATTCACAGTGACTGGGACCTCCGAAGGCGCTGCATCCCCCGGGAAGAGGGAGGAATGTGTGCCTCGGCGCTCTCGGAGAGCTTTCTGGCAAAGACAGGAACATTGTAAGGGACGCCTTCCTTTCGCATCCGTCAAAGGTCGCTTTGCTTCCTCTGACACGTTCGTTCGCGCAGTGCCTCTTCTCCCAGGGGGCCCTCAGGACACGCAAGCACAGGGTTGGAGAGTGGTGACAGCTTTCCCCTAGCAGTCTGTACAGCCTAGTCCGGGTTCTGTCACCATGTGACTTTGGGCAGCTCACCCCACCACTGTGGACATTGTTTTCTTATCTACTGACAGCTTGGACCTGATGACTTGTTAATCTCCTTCCGACCTCACCCGCTGCCATGTGGCACTGACCCCGAGAACCCCGGGTGCTTGGGGTCTGCCTTTGGAGAAGGCCCAGTTAATGACCAGCAGCTGAGGACCAGGCTTTCTAGGTGCAGAATCACTCAATTGCCTTCTTCATCGCTGCTCTTGCTTTGGGCTGCGTTTTACCTTGTAGCAGAACCTCCGCTTTGATCCCACCCAAGCATTCCTAAGGCAGAACTCTGAATCCATTTTTATGTGGAGCAAATGCCCCAGATTCCTCCCTAATGATTTTATGTATGAGGCCATTTATTTCTAGGCACTTACTTTTCTTAAACCCTTGTGTCCGCTCTACCTCATTATAATTCACTGCCCAGTACTTATTTAGTTCTTCAGTATAAAGGATGGAAAACCTTAATGGCTATTAGGCTCTTCCTTCCACAGTGGGAGACAGATGAAACAAAAATGAAATTTTTGTTACAGGTCAAGTCCAGCCTGTCACCTCTGGAAACAAGTGGCTTCAGCAACTGTGTTATCACTTGTCATCTAGGAGACTAGGTAGGTTACCAGGTGCTTAACAGGAGCAGAAATACTCTCTAGGCCTGAAGGTGCTCTGGCCCTGGGACTGGGCAAGGAGCGGGGAAGACTCCACATCAGGAGACCGGACACAGCAAGCTGTCTTGGCCTAAGGTCTTTGAACATGACTTAGAAACGTGGGACTGTATCCTTCATCCTGTGGCTCCTTGCGACTCAAGCCATTTCACTATGAGTTGACTATCTGTACAGTTTGTCTACAGGAGGAGAATAGGTCAATTCCCAAACTGCTTATTGTTAAGTAATAAACAGGCATTTTGTTACATACAGGTGGGTGTATTTGGTTAACGGGAACCTCCCAAGGGAGGGTACCCCTCACTATGTGCTCATAAATGAGGCTTCAGAGTCTGCAAATCTGGGAGATGAAGTGGTCCTGAAGGCTAGGGCGCCACAATGGCCACCTCAAAAACCCCAGCGTGGACTGCACTGATTCATCAGAATAATGCAGCCACTGAGGCTTGATGGAAGACAGGTGAGAAGCAGGCTCAGGAGACCCAGAGATAATGCAGCATCTCACACATTCTGCATTTTATATTAATGCAGAGTTTACAGTTAATCAGAGAAGGTAAACATTCTTCATACCATGTACACATTAGTGTTCTTATATTCTTAGAATCCATCTACTTTCTTAAGTTAAAAAAAAGCCCCTACTTTATTTTTTGCATAAAGCTAAGCTTCAGTCCAGTCTGAATTACTGAAGTTATTATTTCTCGCATGCCCCCACACCTATACCCAGCCTCACAGTTTATAGAGAACTTTCATATCTATTACATCACTAGGTCCTGACAAGTCATCAGGACGGGCACTACTGTCTTCATTTACATGTGAGGAAACTGAGACCCAGAGAAGAAACAGACGACCTGTTACCTGCCAAGTTCACAGACCTAGTAAGTTGCAGAGCTGAACTGCCTCCTCCTATTCTGTGTTATATATACATTACCTGAACTGGAGGTGATTTACTGTCTTGCTTCTCTAAAAAACCAGAATATAATGAGTTAATTTTTCTAGACGTGCTTAAATATAGAAACAGCTGACTTAGCAGGCCTGGAATCAAATCATGTAATTCCCACGGCTTGCTGATCTCTCCAACATGCAGCAAGCTAGCCACAAAATGCTCTATCCACGACTGGGAGGAACAAAGTATGATCCTCCCGAAAACTCAGCGACAAGCCCACTTCTGTTCCGTCACAAGGCCGACACTCTGTGGAAGCCTGCTGTCGGGGACACAGGGAAGTGGACTGTGCGTGCGGCCTTCAGGGCCAAGGTAGATGCTCCTAAGCCAACGGCTCAGCCTGTGGTTCATTCTGGCACGGGGCCGTGGTGGAGCCCTACGGTCAGATGAGACGTGGGCTTAGCAACCTTTCATGCTGCTCAATAATGCCCTTTGGGGACATTCCAAGGCCAACTGTGTAAGAGCAGGGAGAGAAAAAAATGAAATAGCAGATAATTAGAAGTAGACTGGGAGGGGGGCAGTGAATGACAGACACCATGTATGGGAAGAACAACAAAGAAGGGCAGATACAGAGAACACCCTCCCTGTCACTTGGAGCTGCCGCCTAAGAGCATCAGCGTTTCCCGAAGTGTATTAACAGGTTTCACTGAAGAAAAAGACTGTGGAGGGTACACAGAGGCTGAAGATCATACTCTTTCCAAATTAAAATTGTTAGAACATGGAACGCATTTTCTGTGGATACCTATGAACATTTTGTGGATCTGGTATCTTGTAGAAAAGTTGAGAAAACAACATTCCTAGTCCCTCAAAGAGCCCCCCAAGAGGTCCCCAAACTTGCTGTAAGTTTCCCATTGCCATGTTACAGGATGCCCTTGGGACCTGTCCATCAGACCAGACGGCCTGACCCCTCAGCCCTGGATGCTGCAAAGGCATTAGCTCTAAGGATCAGTCTGGAGCTGCCGCCCTCTGGCTACACAAAAGCTGTGCCAGCGGCTCACCTAATTCTACTAGAGTCACACTGGGTTCAAACAGCCCATGGGTGACAAGTGGCCTGCTTCTGGGGATACAGACCTGTGACAGTAAAAACCAAAACAGCTTAAAGATAGCATTTCAATATTTTCATTTGTCACCTCTGCATGTTTCATCTGTTGCTGGTGGCCTTGAGGGCAAATTGTCACCCTTGGTAGGACACCTGCCTGTATCCAGCATGCCTCCTCGTGTCTTTCCCATTTCTCCTGGTCCTGCGTGTGGCCCCAACATGTCATTGCCTATCACTGGATAGGAACTGCCCATCAGTTCCAGGCCAGCACACAGGGGTACCCAGCCACATCCTATGCCACAACTAAGCTTTCCAGCTCTGCCTGTGAAAGGGTCCCAGGGAAGGCCCTAGAAAAATAAGGGCATAGCAGTTCTGATCTTCAGAGGAAACACCCTCCCTGCCAGTTGGCCCAGCACCTACCTGACACTCCACATTGCAGTAAAATGCCTGCTTGCATCTTCCACATTTGGACAATCCTTCTTTCCTTAAAAACAGAAAGGGCACTGTAGTGGCGAGAGGCACAGAAATACAAAGCTGCACATTTTATCATGCCATAACAAAAGCCATCTGGTCAGAAAGCAGAGCCAAGACTCACCTTACCTTACTCTCCCCTTGTTAAGTTGCATTTTCCCAGAGGAGAGTTTGGACCAGATTCAGCCCTTGAGTAGGAGTGAGTTAGTCAAATAGTACATGCACCAACATTTACCAACCCTGACTGCGTGAAAGGCACTTTCCAAAATTGATGGATGGCGTGCACTTCGCCTCATGAGCCTGGCCTGGGACACCACAGCTGTTAATATCACCTGCACTATTACTCAGTAGTTTTGGGCAAGTCAGAGGTTCTTATGTCCTCATTTTCTCACCTGTTAAAGAGGGGCAGAAATAAACAAGACTGTCTTGAAGGTTTGACATAAAGACAGAGGACTGCGGAGCACCTTTAGTGGTGGAAAGCACAAGGTGAGGAATAACCTTATTATTTAGAGATGCAGGGAATGCAGAACATGGAATTGGGTATGTCAATAATTCCAATGTCCAGAAAGCTAAGGTTAAGTTGGAGACATATAACTTAAAGTAAGTAGAGACATATCCTTGAATAAAATATTACCAGATCTGATGAGTAAACACACTCACCTTGTCAGTGTGCTACTGAGTGATTTTTCTGCCTCTTCATAACTAGATCGACTCTCCCTGTTCATTGCCACATTATTTCCCTGTTTCCCATAAATGTCAGGGACAGTTGTTTCCCAACTGTTAGGTGTCAGTGTTTTTGTTGCATTAGATAAGTCAAACTTTCTCCAAAAAACTGTGAAGCCACTGCGTTAAACCACATACAACACAACTCTTAAAAATTCTTTTGAGGTGGGGAACAAGCACATGGTTAAATCAGAGCACTCTGTGTTAAAACCTGCTGTCCTATTCTTATCACCGCCCTGAGGCCAGCTTTCTGACTTGGAGAGATGCCCACAGCACAGGGGACAATCTCGCAGCTGCCAGGGGTGCTGCACTGCCGCGGGGCCACCGCACCTCCTCCCCTTCCGTGGCACGCCTGGAGGAGCTGACGTTTTATAATATACACGTAATCGTGCGGCAGCGTCCTCCTCTGCTCCTTGTCAGCGAGTGGTAGTCACCACACTCCTCCCACAGAATCAAGGCCGCGTTCCAGAAATGCTACCCTTGGAACTAAACAGACTGCCTTGCAGTTTTCATGACAGCACTTGGATTCCAAGAAGCAGACTGCAGAATGCGTGGGAGCAAAACACATCTTGTGGTTGAGGCACAAATAAACATTCCCAGTTTGCGTATCTCAATAGTTCAAAAAGAAACCCACTAATTTAGCTGAGTGTGTTCGCTGGCCTGAAGTGCCCGCCGTGGGGGCATCTGCAGGGATCCGAAGTCTGACATTGCATTTTGGAATATGAACGACACCAGATGCCTCCTCCCTGCTGTCATGTTTTATGAGGAGGGGACAAGGGCAGAAGGTGTGGTCAAAAACTACTGTGAAGTGACTTGTAAGCATCTGCTAAGTGAGATGGACCTTGAAGAAATGCCACGGGGATGGGAAGTAAAGGCAGACAAAGCCAGGGAGTGATCTCTGAAAATTCTTTCCACGAAAAGGCGCACTTGGAAATCGATAATGCCCAGAAAAGTGCTCATCTGAAACAGTAGTTTGTTAATGTTTGTTCTTGCAAGGGAGAGGTCACATGCGATCAAAGCTATGTGATCATTTGAGAATTTGATCAAAGCTATTAACTCTTCCCAGCAACCCACCTTCTCCTTAACCCCCAAAATGCAACCAAAAATTTTATGAAATCTCAAGGGCCACCGAATAGCCTCTGCAGCTGGTTTAGGACTTCCTGCTGTAAAAGATTAGGAATCTATCACAAAAATATCTTTATTAGCTCTACACCACACAAAAAAGCAAGGATCGCACAGTTCTTCCTGCACAGATGCCAGTAGTAAAGTTAATGTGAAACCAAGCCTTGTTTTCAGCTTCAAGGTAACATCCCTGGGAGAGTAAAGGCAACTGGGCTTTCGTGAGCTAGGAAAGAACTCTAGTGCTTTCCTTCACCAAAATAAGGAACCTCTTCATCAAAATAAAAAACCTCCCAAAGGCCAGGCTGCATTTAACAAAGCCAGTCACCATGTCCACAAGCCACAAAATTGAAGAACAGGAAGGAAAGATTAACTGTTAAGTGTTGGCGATATGTTATGTAATTTCTACTCTCTCTCCCAGTGGTCCTCAAATGGTGGTCCATAGACTTACTGGGTCCTGGAGACTCTTTCAGGGAGTTGGTGGGGTCAAAACTAGTTTCAGAATCATGCTACTGCCTTGGCATTTGCACTGCGGAAGATATAAAGTAGAAAGGTGCTAGAGGTCAAACTGTTGGTACCTTGGTGCAAATGAAAGCAGACACCATATTCTTCACTTCCACACACCAATTGGCAGGTGAGGGGGGAGCCAGTTTCACTTGAGAATGTTCCTGATGAAGCAGTAACAAATAGTGATTGTACTGAATCTCGACTCTTGGGTATGTATCTTTTTGATATACCGTGGTGAAATGGGAAGGAGGGGTAAGGTATTTGTGCTGCATCCTGAAGTAGGACGGCTGTCTCAAGGAAACACACTTGTGTGCTCTCTGGAGTTGTAAACTGAACCAGCCTCTTTTCTGGAATACCAACGGAACTGGAAAGTATGACTTTAGACAAACTGTGCTTATTCAGACGAGTGTCTGGCAGATACAGTCTGGAAATGAAGGAAGGGAGCCTGTCACTTCAAAGAGAACAATAGAAATATTTGTTGCCAATGATAACATTTGTGCTTTTGAGCAAATATTATAATCTTGGAAAACATATATCTGCCACCCTGAGCCTGAGAGTCTCTCATCTGACAAGACTGGTGATGGTGTTGACAACTGTGATTTTTTTTTGGATATGGTTTGATGAAATGAATCAACATTTAGAGGCTCTATATAATGTAGTGAACCAATATTTTCCAAATGACAAGTGCACAATGTTTTAAAAATTATGCATAGCTAACAGTCCATCAAACTGCAAGACTGACCACAGGGTTTTACTGTAACAAAGTACATAAAGTTCACTGATAGACCTTCAGATTGCACTTTACAGTTGTAGCCTTTAATACAATTTCACTTACAAATTTTAGTGATGAATCAAAGAATATCCACAATTCACTCAAAACACACTCCTTTCCAACTACATATCTATTTGTGGCCATATTTTCTCCATATACTTGAACCAAACCTATGTAATGCCACAGACTGAAGTCAGAAGCATGTTTGAGAATCCAGTTGTCTTTGGGAAATCCAGACATTAAAGAGATTTGTAAAACTGTAAAACTCCACTATTCTCACTAGTTCTTTTGTTTTGGGATATGGTTCTCATTAAAAAATGGTACTGTCATTGGATGGTGGTTGTCATTTTAAAATGAATAAATAAAACATTTACTGTTTTAATTTCCAATATGGTAAGTATTGATCAATATAACCCATATAAACAAAAGCTCTCTGGAGTTCTCAATTTTTAAAGTATAGAGGAAGTTTGAAAACTCCCAGCCTAGCAGCAAGTCCATCAGCTCTATGATGAAGTTATTATTCCTATTTTTCAAATGAAGATAATGTGGATCCTAGAGGTGAAATAATCTAACCCAGTGGGGCCATTCAGCAAGTAGGGAACAGAATCAGAATTCACACACTGAGGTGCGCATTTTGCCTCCATCGTGAGAGATTATCCTTCCTTGAATAGTGGGGCAATTATCCAGGAGGATAAACTACATGAAGCAAAAATAATCTATGTTTGGATAAGCTAATGGCAATAAGAGCATAAGGAAAGGCACCCTTTACCACGGTCTGCGTAATATCCCAGCAACAATGATAACTCATTAACGTCACTGCTTCAGAGACGCAGTGGGCAGAATCAGGATCATTTTTCAGAATGAGACCTGGGCAGGGAACAATCCCCAAAACTGTCCCAGGAATCCAAGTCTCTTAAAATAGGTTGGGATGAAATAAGGAGTGGTTTTCTATTTAGTCTATGCAGAGAAGGACCCTCGCTCCCATTCAGTCGGGTAGATGGAAGTGTTCCTCAGACGCAGGCTGGGCGAGGTCAAGCTGCAGCGCGTCCCAGGGGCCCTGAGGGACAGCACACAGCAGCTTTCAAGAGAGTAAAATTTGCTGAGCTGGTACCCGCGTTGTGGGTGTGTATGTGCCCGAGCGAGAAAGGAGAGAGAGAGGAAAAAGAGAGAGCCTGTGAGTGCATCACTGCTGCTGACTGAGAAGGTTAGCTAGAGAGAAACTGCATACGGGGTCTCCGTTTTCACTGCAGGAATAGACCAGGCATTCGGAATAAACTCTGCTCCTACAGAAGACACAGCCGTGAATCTTTCATTTGCAATGTAACGTCATCTGAATTATCCAAGAGCTTTGGGGAAAGAATGCCAAACACAGAAAATAAAATTCCTCTCAGAGAAAGATTAGTAAGGTCCTTTGGAGGCATGACCTGAAATAACCCCAAAGGAGGGGAACTCAAAGTGAAGGGCTGATGGCCTCTCTCAGGGTCTCCCCTGAGCTGCACATGGGGATCTGGGCCTGGGATAGGGCTTGCAATTCTCATTTGACTGGTCTGTTTGGAGATTTTTAGAAAGCTTTCCTGGAGCTTTTAATGTGCTTCCAGAATGCAGAAGCCCCAGCCCAGGCCTACAGCAGTCCATTTGGACCAAGAGGTTTTTTTTGGAATACAGAATTTGCCCAATGGTGTTGCAGAATTCTTCTCAGCAATGCAGGTTATTTACAAGGTAACTTGTCTTGAGAATGAATGGCACACGCTGGATGTATTAAGTGGCTTAGCTACCTTGATGATGAATATTAAGGTCAGAATGAAGGCTGACACCACATTTTCTGTTACAAGGAAGTATTCCAGAAGCCAGGTGCGAATTCTAAAAAAGAAAGCTGAGGCTTTCTTTCCACC